GCATTAGTATTTTAAATAAACTTATTACTGTATTAAAGATTTAAATGTGAGCGTAGTACCTATACAAATTATTTTGGTAAATTAACCGTGGTTTAATTATAGGTAGATCTCATTTGGTGGTAAAGGATATTGGTGGAAAAGGGAAAGATACACCTTTGGTGGAAACGGGTATTGGTGGAAAAGGGAAAGGTCTWYTTTTTGTGGAAACGTGCTAATTTACAATGGAACTCTATGATAATTATAAGYTAATAAATAAATAGGCGAAGTAAAATTATTGCTACTAATAATAATCTTATCATTTAAATKATCGCTAACATTGTGTTCTGATTCTCGTAGTTCAGAGTGACAGAAATTAAAACTGAAYATAAATTTAACTTTCTATTCGTTGTTTTCAATGTTTTGTAAATTTTCTTTGAAATCTTGTAACAGAAGAACTCATAAGAATTATTATAAAAAATATTTGAAAAACTTAATAAATTAATTGGTAAAAAGCTAACTATATCTTTATATCTTTACAAACTCAAATTTATAACAATAAAATTGCGTATTTATATTTAATTCATTATATATTAGTCAAACAGTGTTACATAACATTTTGATTAAAATGTATAAACATTGACATGAATAAATATAATGTAATGCATTATCGGTATACTAATATTGATAGTGACATAATCGAGTTATTTTCAAAATCGAATATTTTGGAGAGTACCCGTTCAAAAATAAATATAATTRTGAACTGAAATGATTAGGCAAGTATTTAAATAAMAATATTAATGTACWATACCTATTACCTATATAGTACCTAAACTCTATAGGCTATAGATTTATTACGAAATGTATGAAAATCACTGTACTGTATCGTGCATACTGAGTAGGAATCACGGATTAAAAAATAAGAAAATAACATACCACACATCTTCCTGATTAGTGATTACAAGTAGTTGTTACATAAATGAACTGTTTGTTTGTAATTTTATGATAAATTAGCTTTTTGTGATAAAAAATAAANATCACAACAATTCGATTTATATACGGGAGGTTGGGTGCTAAGTTTCCAAATAATCGAAATGTATGCACCAATATCATTTAGCTGAAGTATATTTAACGAGTTTCCCGAGCCAAACGAACGGTATAATAAAATAATGTGTGTATGTAGCCTGATCGTGGATATAGAATGCTGCGGTTTTCAATAAAATAAATGAAATATAACGAATAGACTAACCGGTTGGATGTATAGGTATAGTATAGTGATAACCCGTACCTATGCCAACATGTAATTATTCCCTTCACTCGTTTATAAAGACCGAGAGGCACGCGTCGTTATTGTCGAATTGATATACACATTGTAATACCTATGATTATTATACGTATATCAAATATGTGGCATGATTAATATTATATTAAAATATTATTATGTAGCAGCGTCTATGATAAGCGTGCAGCGGAAAAATTATTATATTTTTGTTCAATCGTGTTTTCGTAAGTAAAAATCGATTTACGGTGGTAYGTCTAAGTCTAACTATACATGTATAGAATATTGTCGGACGACGTATGAAAATATAAGCCTCTATAWAGCGATTTTTCMTCTCCTCTTCTCCTTAAACAGCTTCTCATCAAACGATTTGTTTATATAGTTCAAAGTATCAAATTAATAAAACCTATATCATCGATTATCATATCATAGACATTTAATAGAATTTCCATCACCTCACAGCAAACTAAAAATATGAAAGAAAGTTCAAAATTTGTTGTGCGTGGTTTAACAACTGTATATATACCTGATATAATAATTTCAAAAACCCCTARGAAAATGCGCACAGTTGTGGAATCGCGAGAGACGTGTTAAMATTTTCGGCCGAGGAAATGGACCTGTCACCCACTGCAACTTGCAAGGTGTAAGAAAAACAATTTATGTTTTTAAGACTTACCACGCGCCCTTACACTGCTTGCAGGACGAACCAGGTGTATTGTAATATATATATATATACAATAATACAATATTGTTGATCGCAAAGAAGAATGGAAAGGGTATACTCGAGTCCTCCGTGTCGTTTTGTTGTTCGGCACACTCCACAGGTACTAGCTATATACAGTGTCATGACTATAGCCTACTTTCTTTTGCCTCTGCCGCCGCGCCGTATTCACATCGGAAACCGACCAATAAACCCACATTCGATTTCGTTCATTCGACTTGTCGCCGGCAACGCACGCGCACGCTGCTGCACTTTATTATTTTTTCTATCGCCATTACCGTCAGTGTCGATCATATTCCCATCGCATTCCGCGTATTTATTTTACCGTTGTGCAGTCCACACGYGACGAAGACCGCGGTCCACGGTTTTCTTCTTTTTCTTGTCGTTTTGGATTTTAAATCTTTTCATTTTGTCCTTGCGTCCAGCTCAAACGAACCCTGTGGCAGTGCGTCGTTTGTACTTTTCGTCCACCCCTTTACGCGGATTAATATAATATATATATATATATTATACATAACAGGTTCGGGCCATTGCACTGTCGCGATACACCTGCAGTGCTTCAACATTCTTTTTCAGGTAAGTCTACAACATATACTTTATGTTTCTATCTGAAGATATTGATCTACTCGATCTAT